GGCAGCGGTGTGCTTTTGAACTAAAACACCTTCGATGTGTTTTAGTTCAAATGCATGCTACTGCCATTTTCTCAGTGCTGAGGCACATTTTGCCATTCATACAAGTGTACTGGACGCAGCACCAGGTGGTTTTCAAAGCGCCTCCCACTGAGGTGCATGCATGTGCAAAAATGCCCAAAATCAATGCACAGAATTAAAGTTCAGTAACCTGCCATATGCACTGAAATTCTACAAGATGCTACATTTTTTTTAAATGAAATATCATTGAAATACCTCTGGAGTATGTGGAGCAAAACAAAAGAAGAACAGACTAACAAGTTCAAATAAGGCCTGCTGGCAGAAATAGAATTTAAGACCTATAATTTAATAATTGAGTGCCTAAAATTGGGTTGTGGTACACAGGCCTTGCAGTCACCAGCCCGATACTTCTTTTCAAGTCAGAGAGACTTTCACATTTGTATCAATTAATTTTCTGAATGCTGCAGCTAGGTCATTTAGTTACATGGGAGATTCCTTTAGGCACCCAGGCCCGTATGTAGCTTAAGCACTTTGGATTGAATATGGCAGTTAAGTTTTACAGTACCCATGAAGTTTTCACATACAGCTGTGAATTTATGGATGGCTGTGTAAGACTGGGGTTTAGGATATAAGTATGGTGTGTGTACCACATATACACAGAGGTATGGATGATGCTGAGCTGAACACTAGGCTGCAAAGCACACTGCTCCCCTGTAAGCTGTGCCTACAAGCATCTACCAGAAAGCATTTATTCAGACACAAGCAGCTACCCCATGGTGACAGTTAAAAGAAGTATAGCATACCTAATTTCTGATGTTCAAAGTGGTGCTTCACATGATAGGTCTTCAGTCCATACAGGTAGCTGCCTTTCTTTGGTGATCCGTAGTGCAGGTAGTAATGAGTCATATCATAGGTGACGTAACCAAACAGCCCCCCGGCAAACACAGAGAGCCCCACTGCCCGAGGAAGGATCAAAAGGAGGCAACAGCAGAGAAACGCAGCTACCAGTGATGCTGGCACAGGAGGGAAGACCAGGCGGGATCTGTCAAATGGCGACTGGAAGCAGAGAAGGACATAGGCAGTATGAGCTCCCAGCAAATCTGAAAGAATTCATGGTCAACACCCATTCACTCCACAACAAGCTCTGCCAAAGCTTCCAGGCATAACAGAGCTAAAAAGATGAGAAAGCAACTCAGGTGCTTGTTAAAAATGTTACTTTAGCTTATCAAGGTTATACCCATTAGGACATATCCCTAAATGATGCAAATTAGCATAGCTCCTTTAAGCTCAGTGAACCAATACCAATGTACAGCAGCTGAGAAGTTACACCTGTGTTCATGGAGCTGTATATTCAACTTATAGCAACAGCTCTGGTTAAGTCATATCTTCTGATTACTTTTCAAGAATTGAGCCGAAGTGTCTGCAATTCCCCATTACAAGAAGTGATAACATCCCAGGCACCTACTGCAATTCAGGGAATGAAACTCCTCAACTTTCTTTGGATTATTAATATTGAGACACCCACATTCCCACTTCTCCAGTCTTAGCAAGTCAACACTGAGAAATTTAGTTTTTAAAAAATCAAGATGAATCAGATTCAGACAGGGAATTCCACACATCTATAGGCAAAAGTATATCCTACTCACCTTATGATGCTGGCCATGCAACAAGAAATGTAGTGTGATGAGATAATAGTTGCTAGCAGGTGGATTCATATGGAAGACAAAGCGATGGATGACATACTCCACAAAGGACCACAGGCTCATTCCCAGGATAAAGAGGAATGGGAAATAGTATTTGTGGACAGGAATGGAATACTCTACATAACAAGGAGACATGCAGCTGTCAGCATCCATGCATTGCGACCATATCCAGTAAACAAGACAGGTGACCTTGAAGACACATCACTTGATACAGCTTCATGCTTCTCATGTTTATTATATTTCTCTTTAAGAAGGGCTAGATGCAATTACTTGATACGACCTTCTTGTCTTTGGGTCTTTCTACTTCCAGGCTTTTAATTTAATAGATTTCATGGACATTAGGGCTGGAAGTGACCATGCAAAATCACCATTCCTGTGAAAAGCTACCTCAACAGCTGATGCTTGGCTCTACAGACCTGGGTCAGTATTTGGCTTGGCTGTTGCAGCCATCTACTTCCTGTTAGCTCTTCCAAGTATTTTCAAAATGTCTTAGCCAAGACCTTCACGAGCTGCACTGACCACATCTCCCCCTTGTCAGATAATTCTGGTGATTTCTATTCTCTTTCAGTATCAAGTTAAGGCTTATGCTCACACCAAAATCTGCCCAACTCCAACCTATCTCACAAGCATTTCCTTACAATTCATTAAGGATTATCTGGCAATTATGGCCTTCACTTGCTTCCAGATTACAGACATGCCCTGCACCAGAAAAATCACCACATATTCTGAATCTGTCTGCAAAGACAATGTGAAAGAACTATTTATATTGTGGCACCTTACAGCTAATAAAGAAAACCCCAGAACCACAGCCTTAATTAAACAGCAAATCTATCTGCATCCATCCCTGCCATTTTCAATAACCTGCTTCTCTGTGTAGGGGAAGATCACATGTATGCTTCTACCAGGCTGGATAATTTTACCAGACTGATCCCTCTGTGGAAAGAGGGCTGCTTGGTAGAGTAAGTCAGTGGGAGAGCAGTTTTCCTGTGGGGATGGCTCAAATATACATTTGTGTTTAGTTCCCATTAAGTTACTTTTCAGAAACCATGTTGCTTAGAGAGAGGACCCTTATGAGGGAAATAAGAGCCAGCCAGCATATCTAATGCTTGGTTTATGTGGAGCCTATCAGGTCTCCCACTAAGTGTAACTGGCTGCATTTCATACTTTTTACAACAAAAAATGCATGGACACCTTAGTTTTAATCTACGATGTGACACTGGATGCCCTGACCCCATCACTACCCTTACAAAATGGCTAGTGTTAAAGCACCATCCTTTCAAATAGGTATTCTGCTTTTATTTTGCTCAAACCAATGTCCTGGCAGTTCCCATGGTGGAAGAAGTTCTTGTGTCTTCTTAACAGCATTCCCCTTCCCTCCTGATAATTTCCTTAGTTTGGTTTGGCTAGATATGTGTTCAGAGTACAATGATTTGCAGCTGTGTCAAAGAATGCCAAGGTCAATTGTGGAGAATCTTGCTCCATTTGTTTTTAAAACCATTCCAGACTGCAGAGACCATTTTATGTACTTAGGGAGCGAGGCCATTTAGAACTGGATTTACAGCAAAGAAGTGTTGCCAAACTCAGCATAAGGTACCAGTGTAGGACAGTAGTTCCATATCAATATTTTGATAAATGTCTCACCTAAAAAGCAAATTCACACAAGAAGATGACAACAGACTATGCAGCCTACACTTCCAACAGCAGCCCCCACAGTAAGACCTCAATAACCAAGTGAATTTAGGACCAGGTCATGAACTGTACAATTAAGGGGAAAGCATGGGATGAGATTATAAACAAGGTCAGCCTTTAAATGAAGCACAGTCAACAATGAGAAAGAGGCCAAATGTTATTTCAATAACTGGATATGAATGCAGAGTTAGTTCACTGCTATTCCAAGCAACAAACTGCATTTTATTTTGAAAAATGTACTGGGGGAAAGAAAAGCAAGCTAGTCATTCCTCCCTTTGTTCCCTCTCACCTCCCATGCACCAATTTAGTGTCACCTTCACATTACAGGACAGCACAGGTCAACAAAGCCTGGTAGCAACTCATGGGGAAAACCTGCACTTAAAGGACCAAGCATGGTTCCCTTCCATTGATTTCTTAAAGACACAGCAGTGGGATTAAATACCTGTTGTCAAAGAAGAGAAGAGCATGGTGTTTCCCTGACCAAGAGAAGTGTAGCAGAGCCAGCTGACATACAGGACTACAGGCATCCAAACCACAATAACTATATACCTAGAGGATGGAAGAAACACATTAAAGAATGAGAAGTTTCTTGGTGCTCCAGTGGAAACTTAATTCAAGAACAGGGCACAAGTCACAAGAATATTTAAACACCTGCATCAGGGCTTCAGGCTGACAGAAGCTAAGATGACTACTGCAGGGGAAACTTGGACAAGTATTGGCCACAAAACCCAACTGCTGACTACTTTACATGTGGTAGCAGAGGTGTAACTGGTAAGGTTCATGCCCTGGGCTACACCTGCTGTGACGGGACTTCAAGAGTCACTGTGGATATTGTTGCTAGGGGCAGGTCTCTGGCAGTCTCACGCTGCTGCCAGGAGGTGGCATTGGCACAGCCATCAGCTGGGGAGTTAAAAGAGCAGATGCCAAGCAAGACCCTAGCGTTGCCCGTACTGCAACTGCTGCCAAATTTTGTTGCAGTGGCAAATTACTAAAGGTAAATTTTGCAGCAAAAAAATATGGGAGCAGCAGTAAGGAGGGAGCAACATTAAGTCGCTGTTCTGTTAAACCCCTGGCTGCTCCCTGCATCAACACCTCAGGCCTAGCAGCACTCTGGTAACCCCTCTAGTTCACATGTGGCATTTGTGTTCTGATTGCCAACCCTGGAGTAGTTACACTATTGCCTTGCAGGCCTCAACAACCAAAATCCACCAGGAAGACATAGTAATCCAAGAAAAATATGCAAAAAAGTTTTGAGGCAGTCTTTCTACACCTTAAAGCAGCAGTAACTGGCATGGGAACTTTTAGGTATTGCTAAACAAACGAGTACTATGAGGAAACTATAGCATTATGGTATTATTACGTGGTCATAGCTACTTGCATTCACATGGTTACCCTACAGCAAGTGCAAAGGGGCATCCCTGGGGTAAGAGCATACGCACAGACTGTTACTAGGCCTGTTCAAAGCAGCTAGTATTCACTTCAGATTCAGCTGATTTGGGGGGACAGTGATTCGATTCAGTGATTCGAGCCCTCCGAAGCCCCGAGGCTGCTGCAGGAGCTGGTGAGTTCCGGTTTTTAAAATTTTTTTTTCATAGTTTCATAGTTTGTAGGGTCAGAAGGGACTTGAACAGATCATCAAGTCTGACCCCCTGCCTTGGGAGGCGACCCCCTTTTCCTTAACGGGCTGGAGCTGGGGCAGGCAGGGCAACCATGGCGGGACTGGGAAAGGGGGCGGAGGTCAGGGGGCTCGTGACAGAGCCCCCCATGCAGCGTGGGGCAGTGGGGAGCAGCAGGCATCACCCCCCCGCCTGGCAGCACCTGTGAGTCGGGGCTTTTTTTAAGCCACGAGGAGCTGGGGTGGG